CAGTTGCTTGGATGTGCTGAACGTTCCTCAGCTGCTCTTGCACCTGTCGGCTGTCTCCGCCGTATGCTGGATCACCCCAGGTCACAACACCCCCGGATTTGAGAATGGCTGCAAAAGCACCTCTGGTTGCTTGGATGTGCTGGACGTCGCGCAGCTGCTCTTGCACCTGGCTGCTGTTTCCTCCATACCTTGGATTACCCCAGGTCACGACAGACCCAGATTCCAGAATGGCAGCAAAAGAAACATTGGCGGTGGCTTGGATGTGCTGGACGTTTCTCAGCTGCTCTTGCGCCTGGCTGCTGTCTCCGCCATGTTTCACATCTCCCCACGTCACAACCTCGCCCCCATGTGCATGCCAAGCGAACGCCCTTTCAGTGGCAGCCACTTCGCCAGTTTGCGCAATCGCAGTGACCACGTCCCCATCTCCCAACCCAGCCTCACTCAGTGTGGCTGTCAAATCGAACTGCTCTCCTTTCGCAGTGAGCCTCAAGCGGCGCTGGAAATGCTGCTGCGCTGCAGTCTTCAGCTCGCTAATGGGCGTCTTCGGCAAGACTTCTACAGAGCAACCGTCTCCGCTGGGCAAGTGAACATCCACCTTCATGAAGCAGGAAGGTTCCTATGGGCGCATTCAAGTTGCCAAACAGGAACCCGAGACCCAAAAACATGTCGATGCAGGGTCTGGTTCTCAACAGCTTTTCAAGGGATCCCAACTACTTGCAAGGGTCATTGGACACAAAGATAAAGATCCCGCATGCGTCCCCTGTGAGGACCTTCCTATCTGTCGACTGAAGTTCTCGAGAAGCCCGAGATCGAGGCCGGCGATTCGCTGCACCAAAAAAAACAGCCTGAAGAAAGGTGGATGGCGGAAAGCCCGGCAAGTCATACCCAGAGCAAACAAAACAACCAAACATCCAATGCCAGGAACTACACCATTTTGGGTTCTGGGATGGTTTCTCGCCCTTCACTCGGGTTGTGTTGTCTGACCAGCGATGCCTTTGGGTCTGGCCAATTTCAAGTCAAGAATAACAGGAAGAGATTCCTCGGATTCCCAATTGGCGGAAGTCGAGCCTTTAGTCAGATTTCCCTGACTAGTATGGTCCTCAATTTGATCAATCCCAAGTTACCCGGCTGCTCGCCAAAAACAGGATCACACTCAAAATGAGACATCGCTTTGGGACGGCATGTTTGGAAGGAAGCCAACAAGAAACAGCCCGGAAAAAGTGAAAACCAGCAGAATCCGTTTGTAAAAGGAAAACCAACCGGAAACCAACCGGAAACCAACCGGATCCATGGACTTATGGAACCCGGGCACCGACCCATCTAGGCGTGCGCGCCGGCAGGAAGACGCGGTACCGCTCGTTCTCCCGCAAGAACTCGTCCACAAAGCCGTACCGGCCTCAACTGAGGCATCTGCAAATCTTGGTTAACGTTCAACCCTTAACCCCTAAGACTTCAGTCTTTTCTATCAAATGGCCCGAGAAACATGCAGGTGCCCTATCAAGCATCCCACAAATCCTCACACTGGTGTGCCAGCACCGTCTTATCGAAACCCTTCTGTGCCATTCACTTACTGCCGGTAGGTTTCGTCGCACGCCGATGTTTGTTGGTCACTTTGAATAATGACGTTGTTGTTTTTACGTGCTGGAATCCGCCAGTACGACAAGCACAGCATGGTCCACCCCAAGCCCAGTAATTATGTCAGCAACACGGGTGTTGCTTTTAAAATTCCCGTGCATCGGCCAAAAGCAGCAGGCGGTTTTGTTGTCCCGCTTCGATCTGCAAGATGCAGGGGATGCCGAACAATGTCCACACGAGCCTTGCACTGCGCAGTTTGCCGGTCGCCGCACCTCAATGTTGAGGCGAGCCAACCTGCCCCCAAAAGGTCGCCAAGCTCAATATTGATTCAACTTGGAAAACTCAGAAATTGTCTTATCCAAAAACCCATGTGTCCGTTTGGAAAAATAGATGGGTTTCCCTGATAAATGGAACAAAACCCATCTACACCAGTGGAACCCATCTATTTCGAACCTAAAACGGCCACCTATGGTCTTATACCTGAGCTTGAACAGTGAGGTGGCTGCGGGGGGTTGGCTCGCAATGGCGAACTCGCAATGGCGAACTCGCAATGGCGAACTCGCCATCGCTCACGCCCCCAGGTCGCCCCACAGTGGAAAAACAAGAATGCCCAAACCAGGAAATGGAGGAACCCCCAGCCAAGGACCTTCGGTGAGCTCGTTTCAGCCCATCGGTGAGATCTCAGTTGCCCAGAATTCCCAGCGGGCCAAGCCATTGTAGCACGCAAACAACCAGAGTCCTGGGGCTTCCCTTGAGCCAGGCCCTTTGAACAAACCAAAGACTTGGTTCCATCAGAGGCCTGGGAGCTTCCACGTTAGTCTGAGGGAGGCTAAGCCTTTCTAATGCCACCCTTCCGTCTGGTCGAGCCCCACACCATTCAGCTCGGGCTTCGACTGAAGCCTCGCGGAGAGACCAATGCGGTGTGAGAGGCCGCGGATGTGATGAGGACACGAGACAAAAGACACAATCCCAGTTGAGATGGATGACATCCTGCCCAGTTGCCTGAAACCCTCTGAATAATAAGATAAATAATCACCTATGGACATGACATGCGTACAATATGTAACAGTTGGGTAGTATGAATTTGAACTAGAGACCCTTTGAAGGAAATCATTTGCGTAGTCCCCGTAGGGACTACTGTCCACCTGCTGTTTCAGGGTGTTCCCGATGAAAAGCCATAGCCAACAGGTCCCCTGATCGTTTGCCAGATATGCACGGCAACAGCCTAAATAACCTGGAATGGGATTGTGGGTACGGAAAATTCCAACTCAATTCAGTAAACTATTCCAGCCCCTTATTACCTTTGGCGCATGCAAAATCTCTCACAGGAACAAATCCGCCGCACTGCTTTGGAGCCATGCTCTCTGTATGTCTTAGGATTCGGACCCAAAAAGGCCCCCAAAATGGCGCGTTTCGGTTCTCCTGTTGGTTTCCCTGTACCACAAAAAAGGGACAAGCCGCCCATGTCCCAAAGGGACGCACAGTTCGTTAGACTGCAATTTTCACGTGAAACCCCAAAAAAACGACCCCCCCCCCCCAAGGAGAATATTGTCTCAAGACAAAGCATAGTGATTCATTCCCTAGCAAGATGCGCGAGAAACAAGTACACTGTCCGCATGAAGGCTTTGCCTTGTGCATTTTTCTCGGCGGACTGCTGGTTGCGGTTGTTCGGGCTCCATGTCCATCGGTTTTCATCAAGGGAGCTAACCCCAACCCATGGAAGTATTCATCCCTTTGCATGTGTAACCCAAAATTGGAAGCCAAAGGACACCTGGGAAGTTGAAAAACATCTTGCTTGGCCATTTGTGAGTTTCTGGACTTACTTTTTGGGTTTTGACCAAATTTTAGTGGTAAAGAAACAGTTCAGACTTAGTCTTGGGCCATCCACGCAGGAAGTGAGTCTTGGTTTTTGTGTGTGTGCGTGTGTGAACCACTTGTTTGGCCCTGTTCATGGTTAGTGGGGTGATGTTTGGCGACCATAACCAAGGTTGGGGAAGTTGCCAAGGGTCCAGGTACCAACCCTACGGAAGCTGACAGGAAGGTGTGGGACGAAAGCTGTCGATGGAAAGAGGGTGAAGGGATCCAGCCCACCAAAAGGAACTTCGGAAGCGAGACAACCACAAAACAAAAACAAAAAAGACCACTAGAAACTCAGGAAGTTAGACAAACAAGACAAAACAAAACAAGAAGCCCCTTGCCTTCTTGGGTCCTGCCCTGCCTCAAACCTCCGAGGCTCTGAGGCTGTGAGGCTCTGAGGTGCCGGCCCCTTCACCTGCACCACGGAGCCCCTCAGCTTGGGCTTCAGGATGCTGAAGTTCTGGTCCCTCGATCAGATCGAGCCCCCGGCCGGTTGGGGCGCGCTGTCCGTGGCGGGCGATGGCACACCCAAAGACAAGGAGGAAACCAAATCCGATATGGCAGATGGCATATGGCGACTTCAACCAAGAAATGCACAAAGGATTCTCTTTAAACCACCTATAGCCAGGCTTCCACTTACATAGACGTGCGCCGGATAAAGTTTGCTGCGGTCCATGCTTGGAATGAGGGTGAACTCCCAAACCTCACAAAGGGGCCCTTCAAAAAGCAGTCTTACAGGTGACTCGGCTTGCATCGTGAGAAAAGGTTGCCTTTTGGTTCCATGGAAGGTCTAAACGTCACCCTGAAATATTGTGCTAAACAAAACAAAAACCTGACTGTTCTTTGCATCCCCCGCTAAACATGAACAGAACCAAACAAGGCCCAAAGCTGCAAGCGGGGGTCTGGGGGTCGGTCTCCTTGCTCGTTTGCCTCAGAGGCTGACAAACGGCACGGGTATGCTTTGAAAGTGGTCTGACCCAGGGTTCATAAACCCCAGTTGATTCGACGGGGTGTCCCATTGAATGAGGGAATCCGGATCACTGGGGAAGCCACATCTCCGTAAGCTGCCTGCCCGGGGGAGTCTTCCTTGGGATGGATGCCACAGATCAGAGATCCCTTTTATGACCACCGACCAACTTTCTTTTGTTCCCCAAGAGGAAATGGGAAAGTGGAGCCTGGCCCCCCGGATCTTTGTGGTTTGTTTCTGGCGTGATGCCCCTTTTCATGCTCTAGACCACCAATCATGTTGCCAGTTGCTCTTACATTTCCCCCAAATCTCACAACCTCCCTGATCGCCTCGCTACCAGATCTCTGTGTCAGCTGCTACCTTTCTCTCCCAGGTCTCCGAACCCCTCACCCCACTAACACCCACCCTCGCCTCAGCGCGATGTCTGTCTCCACGCCGTTGGTGATAAGTCGCACTACGTACCGGTCTTGGTCCTTCGGGTGATAAAAAAAAAGAAGCTGGCCTGGTCAAACAAAATGGTACAAACATTGACAAGGGCGTGTCTCTTTTTTCTTGGCGGTACTCCTTGTCGGAAATGGTTCAAGGGGAAACCACCAGGAGAACCGTGGCCCACCCGGCCCGCCATTTTGTGAAGCCCCGGTCCGAAGCCTAAGGAAAGACGAGGCATCCATTCTGCCAGGTAGGGGCCTTTTGGTGGAGGAGATCGAGGCGGAAATCGGAAGATTCGCTCGCCTTCCACCAACAAACGTATGGGAGTGGGTCAAAAATCGTTGCTAACCCCACAATTGGTTGCCCTGGTAAATGGAAACATGGACAACCTTCGGTCCGATTCCTGGTGGATTAATTTTGACCATACCCCATATATGAGCCATGGTCAGAACTCGATTCGTTTGGCCGACTAGGTCATGGCTCCCTTCATAGCTTCTACTGGTCATTTTAAGGATGCTTGCTACCAGGATGAACATCCAAGTAAGGGGGTCTTTTGACACATGGTGCAGCGGAAAAGCCGGCCTTAGGGAAACCAAAAGCAGGTGCTTAAAGATGTCCAAGCAGGTTGTTTCGCCCAGCCCTTCTCAACCATTGGGTGTTCGAACATGCATTTGCCCCAACCCTGACCTACAGTGCCAGCAACCCTGGCATTTTTCGGCACGTCCTTTTCGAAGCCGATGCACACCCCACACCTGCCGAGTGTTTCATGAAACGAGAAGAGGGCAAAGGCCCCGGTGCAAACACCGCCAAAAAACGGGCCCCTTTTTGTAGGACGCCCCTCCTGACACTCCAAAGGTATTGGAGTGCTTTGCATGTTTGGACCAGGGTATCAAGGACGATAGCAAGGACGCCTTGGGTTCCTTTCAAAATGTGACCAACCGCTTTTGCCATGCCCAAGGTCTTCTACACTCACACGGGTGGTTGGCCGAAAGGTGCAAACTCTTTGCCACGAAGATGACCCCAGAAAGTATCAAGTCCAGGACCCTAAGATCACAGCGGTTCCCAGACCATTCCCAGACCCTTTTTCAGCCAGAAGCGGGTTGGAGTTCCACTCGCAATGCTGCAACAAACCTCCCCCACAAAGTAAGCCCAGGTGGTATCCCCGGCCGCGGCAGCCCCTGGAACCCTATCTGGGTTCCATCCCCCCCCCATAGCTTTCAGCTGGGGGGGCAAGAAAGACTGGCAAAGCTGGCCAGCTTTGTAGGGGAACCAATGCCTTTTGTTATACAAGCAAGGGGAAACCGCGCACCAAACATGTACCCTCCTAACATCACCTCCTGAGGTCTGTCACGTTGGCTTTGGATTCAACTTCTGAAAAAAACGGGCGGCCATTTGGGTGTTCAACAGTGAGGTCGCCACTGTGTATGTGCGGAAGGTGTGGGTCCAGAAACGTTGTTTGATGTTCCATCCACTTGTCATTTCCTTTTGGAAAAATTCCCATCACATTGGTTATTGGGGGTCCAACTTGTGAGAAATGCGACCCCCAACTTCCGGGTTATTGCGACCCCCATTGGCTTTTTTAGCATGCAGTTTAACTTGTGGGTCGCAACTAAATGGATGAGAAGCCAGGTGAGATCCAGTCTTTCTGTGTGTGTCCAAATAGGGGGGACCCCCGGTCCCTTTTGTTTTCCCTTTACCACCGCCAGAAGGGTTTTTTCCAAAAAGACCCCGAATAAGGCCCAACGTGCCTCAAACGGGTTGAGAGGTAGGGTCCCTGGCTCTTGCACCACACATTCAAGCCATTGCAGTAGTTCAAGACCTTGGGTGTTCAACCCACTTGGTCAGGTTTGAAGCATGACTACGTACATAACATTGAGGTTAGAAATCCTATATATAGTTCAAGCATCGATTCAAACCATGATGTGTGTCGTAATTATGTAGATACGTCTCTGTGTTCCCCTGTGTCTCTGTGTCTCTGGTCTGTGGTTCTGTGGTCTGTGTGTCTGTGTCTCTGTGTCTCTGTGTCTCTGTGTCTCTGTGTCTCTGTGTTCCCTGTGCTCCTGTGTCTCTGTGTTCTGTGTCTCTGTGTCTCTGTGGTCTCTGTGTCTCTGTGTCTCTGTGTCTCTGTGTCTCTGTGTCTCTGTGTCTCTGTGTTCTCAGGTCTCTGTGTCTCTGTGTCTCTGTGTCTCTGTGTCTCTGTGTCTCTGTGTCTCTGTGTTCCTGTGTCTCTGTGTTCCTCTGTGTCTCTGTGTCTCTGTGTCTCTGTGTCTCTGTGTCTCCTAGTCTCTCAGGTTCCCAGGTCTCTGTGTCTCTGTGTCTCTGTGTTCTGTGTTCTGTGTCTCTCAGGTTCTGTGTTCTGTAGGTCTCTGTGGTTCTGTGTCTCTGTGTCTCTGTGTTCTGTGGCTCTGTGTCTCTGTGTCTCTGTCTTCAGTGTCTCTGTGTTCTGTAGGTCTCTGTGTCTCAGGTTCTGTGTGTCTGTGTGTCTCTGTGTCTCTGTGTCTCTGTGTCTCTGTGTCTCTGTGTCTCTGTGTTTCTGTGTCTCTGTGTCTCCGTGTCTCTGTGTCTCTGTGTCTCTGTGTCTCTGTGTCTCCGTGTCTCTGTGTCTCTGTGTCTCTGTGTCTCTGTGTCTCTGTGTCTCTGTGTCTCTGTGTCTGTGTCTCTGTGTCTCTGTGTCTCCCTGTCTCTGTGTCTCTGTGTCTCTGTGTCTCTGTGTCTCTGTGTCTCTGTGTCATGTGTCTCTGTGTCTCTGTGTCTCTGTGTCTCTGTGTCTCTGTGTCTCTGTGTCTCTGTGTCTCTGTGTCTCTGTGTCTCTGTGTCTCTGTGTCTCTGTGTCTCTGTGTCTCTGTGTCTCTGTGTCTCTGTGTCTCTGTGTCTCTGTGTCTCTGTGTCTCTGTGTCTCTGTGTGTCTCTGTGTCTCTGTGTCTCTGTGTCTCTGTGTCTCTGTGTCTCTGTGTCTCTGTGTCTCTGTGTCTCTGTGTCTCTGTGTCTCTGTGTCTCTGTGTCTCTGTGTCTCTGTGTCTCTGTGTCTCTGTGTCTCTGTGTCTCTGTGTCTCTGTGTCTCTGTGTCTCTGTGTCTCTGTGTCTCTGTGTCTCTGTGTCTCTGTGTCTCTGTGTCTCTGTGTCTCTGTGTCTCTGTGTCTCTGTGTCTCTGTGTCTCTGTGTCTCTGTGTCTCTGTGTCTCTGTGTCTCTGTGTCTCTGTGTCTCTGTGTCTCTGTGTCTCTGTGTCTCTGTGTCTCTGTGTCTCTGTGTCTCTGTGTCTCCTCTGTGTCTCTGTGTCTCTGTGTCTCTGTGTCTCTGTGTCTCTGTGTCTCTGTGTCTCTGTGTCTCTGTGTCTCTGTGTCTCTGTGTCTCTGTGTCTCTGTGTCTCTGTGTCTCTGTGTCTCTGTGTCTCTGTGTCTCTGTGTCTCTGTGTCTCTGTGTGTCTCTGTGTCTCTGTGTCTCTGTGTCTCTGTGTCTCTGTGTCTCTGTGTCTCTGTGTGTCTGTGTGTCTGTGTGTCTGTGTGTCTGTGTGTCTGTGTGTCTGTGTGTCTGTGTGTCTGTGTCTGTGTGTCTGTGTGTCTGTGTCTGTGTGTCTGTGTGTCTGTGTGTCTGTGTGTCTGTGTGTCTGTGTGTCTGTGTGTCTGTGTGTCTGTGTGTCTGTGTGTCTGTGTGTCTGTGTGTCTGTGTGTCTGTGTGTCTGTGTGTCTGTGTGTCTGTGTCTGTCTGTGTGTCTGTGTGTCTGTGTGTCTGTGTGTCTGTGTGTCTGTGTGTCTGTGTGTCTGTGTGTCTGTGTGTCTGTGTGTCTGTGTGTCTGTGTGTCTGTGTGTCTGTGTGTCTGTGTGTCTGTGTGTCTGTGTGTCTGTGTGTCTGTGTGTCTGTGTGTCTGTGTGTCTGTGTGTCTGTGTGTCTGTGTGTCTGTGTGTCTGTGTGTCTGTGTCTGTGTGTCTGTGTGTCTGTGTGTCTGTGTGTCTGTGTGTCTGTGTGTCTGTGTGTCGTGTGTGTGTGTGTGTGTGTGTGTGTGTGTGTGTGTGTGTGTGTGTGTGTGTGTGTGTGTGTGTGTGTGTGTGTGTGTGTGTGTGTGTGTGTGTGTGTGTGTGTGTGTGTGTGTGTGTGTGTGTGTGTGTGTGTGTGTGTGTGTGTGTGTGTGTGTGTGTGTGTGTGTGTGTGTGTGTGTGTGTGTGTGTGTGTGTGTGTGTGTGTGTGTGTGTGTGTGTGTGTGTGTGTGTGTGTGTGTGTGTGTGTGTGTGTGTGTGTGTGTGTGTGTGTGTGTGTGTGTGTGTGTGTGTGTGTGTGTGTGTGTGTGTGTGTGTGTGTTCGGCGTCTATTCGTCTGCAACGCTAAACAATGCTGAGATCGGCAGTCTTGGCGTGTGCTGACGAAAGATACTATATAGTTGTTCCCATCATATTCCGATGAATCACGTGCAAAATCAACTTTGTCAACCTCACCCTAAGCTTATCTTTGAGCAATCCCTACAAAGACAAAGACTCAAACCTGGCACAAGTCTGGATGCGTACATGCCCGGTTGCGTCTTACGGGAAATAAATGGACCCATTTTTTGTTGATTGATGTGGGCCTCCAGCTTCAGGGAAGCCCATATGGGCGTGTTTTTTGTTTGGGGACCCCCCCCCGCCCCGCAAGATGGTGGGTTTTCCGTTTGGTTTCCCTGTAAAGCTGCAACAACAGGGTGCCAACTCCAAAAAACACAGATCCATATGCCACAGGGCGCGCAGTCCTCCGCGCTGCGAATGAGCGGAATCCTCCCGCATTGTTTCCTTAAGACATCACATAGGCGGCTTGTTAGTGAAAACGCCAATCAACCAACCCACCGAACCAAGCACGCCCAATCAAACCAACCAAAGCAAGCAAATCCAAGGAAATCACACCAGCAAACCAGATACGGCCAACAAAACCAAGCAAATCAAAGAAGAAACCACCAAAGCTCGCTCCAACCCAGGCATCAAAACCAAAACCGAACCAACCAAACTAACGATCGCCCTCCCATCTCGGCCCTGCCTACCGTTCAGCTCCGCCTTCTTCTCGAGGTTCTTGATGCGCACCGTTTGGCCAAGCACGGCTTCACCTCAGAAGGGCCAACAAACCACGGCTGTCGGTTCCACCAAAGCGCCTGCAAAACTATGCACCGGTTTTTCTGCATCCCCCATGAAACCAAACAGCAGAACCCACCTACAGGCTAAAACGGCCAGTAGGAATCTGTTTGGGGAGCTGCCAACATCTCTTTACACATCGAAGTCCTGCTTCTGGGACTTCTGCTCATTCCATTTCTGCCACTCAGCTGACCATTTGGGTATGGGTCAAAATAAACTCACCAGGATATGGACCGCAGGTTTTAGTCTTTGGTTCCATTTATCAGGGTTCCATTTTGGGTACGCATTTTTGACCCACTGCCATTTGGTTTTGCCACTCTGACCCCTTGACGATGTGTCAGTCGAGCTCACGCACCCAGATTCCGGACTGCAGAGTCATGTTCTGGCACTGGTGGCCAGGAGTCGGGCGAGTCCACCCGTCGAAACGAGGCCATGTCGAAGAAAAAGGGAATACACGTGCCTAGAGTTTCCATGCTGAGAACACACACACACACATGTGGAAATTTTGTTCGGTGCTGCTCAAATGTCATCCTTTTCTGGGCTGATTAAACTGAGCTGGCGAATCCTAGTATCAAACCCGAATTGGACAACCACTGGACTTGGCCCAAACCCATGCACGGCGAACAAAAATGCTCAGATTCTGTGTCATATTCGGATAACCTTAAACGAAGGACAAATACACTTCTTGGCCGACAATCAAAAGGAGAAGACTAATCATATGTCTGCATTCTGTGCGTAAGTTGGGTGCTGTTCACTGCTGCTACAAACAGGTAAAGTCAAGCCGTCTGTGACTCAAATCACACTTGTCGCTTTTGCAAATAAAAAGCTTGAAATCAACGGTCAATTAATGGCTCGCAATGGGAATGTAGGCATGGTTGGAGCCACTTGAAACGCCCGTGACACGCATTTCAAAAGTGCAGTTTTTCCACAGCTCGCCTTTCCCCGTCGCAGAGTTATGGCTAAGCCATGTGTTACGATGTGGTGAAGGGTAAGGGACCCCTTAGGTAAAGAGCGCTCGTGTTGTCGACAGTAAAGAAGTGGTTCTTGAAATGGGGAAGCTCGCTCCAGGCAGGTAGCTTTCCCATTGCAAAATACGCAAGATGGGTGCCAACTAAAAGAGAGGAACCACACCCATGTATCAATCCCAAAACAAGCAAATGGGAGAATCAACCACTCCAAAAAACAAACAAACAGAAATGAATGGACATGGGTATCAGTTATCAGTCCAAATCCAAAGGACCCACTCCAAAGATTGGTCTCAACTCTCCCCCTCGCCAAAAGAATAAGCTCAGGTGATATCCCCAACAGTATGCGGTGCTTTTGTTATTGCTCGCACCTTGCAGCCCTCGCAGAACCTCGTGGAGCCCTAGTGGAACCCTGGTGGAGCCCTGGTGGAGCTCTGGTGGAACTCTGGTGGAACTTTGGTGGCACGGTGGAACCCTCGTAGAAGCTTACCTCGCCGCCCCGGACCACCCCGGAGCCTATCTGGGCTGAGACCCCAAAGCTTTCAGCTGTTGGGGAAAAGAAGAGCGCCACGATAATGCTGATGATCATCACTATGCATCCGCAGCATTGCCAGCAGTCATCATGATTTTCGTCAATTTGCATCCCCTGCATGTTGGGGAAAAAAACAAAAAACTGGGATCCTACGCTCGGCTCCCCGGCTCGCATCCTTGACGCGGGCGGTGTTGGCGCCTTTGCTGCGGTTCCAGGACACCTCGCCACGCTCCCACGCTCGACGCTAGGTTCAAGGAACGAAGCCCTTGAATTGGACACCCCCCGAAAGCTGTCGAGACAATGACTCTCGTCTTTGTCGTCCTTTAGTTGGGAGAAAAGAAGAAGAAAAAAAAAGAAAGCCGCTCCCAAAGGATGCGCAAGCTCTCAGTGCATAGACCTCCCCAAACAATTTGAATCATAAGTCATCCCTACCTTTTGGGTGAGGGTGAGGGTAACTTCATTTTCTAGTCTTCCCCACAGAAGGAGAATATCAGCATGTATATACATAAAATACCCACCCATGAACATGGAACCTGACAGGAGGGGCCTAGAAGACCATGTTCCATGTTGGCCCCGGTTTAAGTGCCCCGGATCTCACATTGGCGCGACTAGGAAGAAGCCCATTCAGAGCACCAATGTTGACTTCGGCTAAATTCGGAGTAGCACTAATCAGCTGTCCACATGTGGTATCCCTTTAAGGACATCATTGGGGGTGGCTTCCTTTCGGGCTAATCTCCAATCCACCCAAAAGGGAACCCCTAGTTGGAGAAACACCCATGTCCTACCACGGCCAGGGAGAGCAGCTCAACACACGGAGCTTTGGGGAAAAACAAGGGAGAGCCCTGCCTTGATGTTGAACCCACTTATCAGGTCATTGATACGATTGTAAAACGGACACGGGGTTAGTGGACCTGCAAAAAATGCTTTCAACCCTTCCGCAAACATGGCACCTGAGAGCTCCTCCCTGGTTACACACGATAATGATTGGCCGATCCAGTTGTTTCAACCACGAACCGGTTGCCTCCGGATATTTTCCCGCTCCCCAGGAACAGTGTTCTTTGGGGATCCGTTTCCTTTCCCAGATACCCGGCAACGAAGGCCCCGCAAAAGGAATGACAGAGAACGTTAGGTTGTGTTGGGTGTCCACGCTGATCTGGAGTGTAGTGTTAACTTCGGATTCATCCGGAGGCCCAAATTCAAACAACCCTTTCTGTGATACCAAAGTGGGGAGATTCCTATCCTACTGATGGACGAAATCCACTTCGCACCACGGATGAAACTCTGTGACTGGGATAAACAAATTGAGAACATCTACAGCTTCTTTTTTATAATAGAATTCCAACCCCCAGCCTCCTGCCCCTGGTTTCCCAAATAAGGCCTTAAGGCCTTATTTGGGTCTCGCTTCAAGTTTGCCTAGGCAAAACCCTCAGAATGGCGCACCGGTGTTCCACTTGGTTTCCCTTTAACACTCAGACTCGAGTCCGTCGAAAGCTTGGCACGGGCAACCGCATTTTCCAGCTCAAAACCCGACCTCCCACTTGGCTTTGTCTCATAGGGGGAACTTGTCCGCAAACTGGGCGGCTTCCCGTACCTTCCCTTGGTGGCCCAATTGAACCAACCCCAAAAAAAAGAATGTCGGGTTTTGACCAGGGAATTCGAGCCGGAACCTCACCTTGGGGGAAAAAACAAAAACAGTGATGAGTCAAGCCGCCAAGTGGGACAGGAATCGAGTGTATCACAGGTTCCCAAAACCGAAAACCGCCTCCTTGAAGAAGTCGTTGATCAAAGGCTCCAAGGTCTCATGCGGCTTGGCGGGATTAAACCTCAGCGCCCATGATCTGGTCAATGAGATCTTCAGGTTCTGGTTCATAGTTTACCCAAGAAGACAACACCGTTTTGACGCAGACTTCAAGAATGTCACCTTGGCCGCAATTCGTGGCTTGGATTGGGGGTGTGGAGGTTAGGAGGTAGTCTTGCCCTTTGGCTCCAACATGTAAGCAACCGCCTGTGCCAGCAATCACCGCGCGACAAGAATGTCCAAACCTTTCGTTTGCCACCAAAATTGTCTTCCCTAAAAGAATCTGAGCGGATACCAGCCAGGGTAATTGTTAAAACGGACCCCCACCGAAAAGACAAAGTGAATCAAGGAGTGGAATTTGTGAGGCGTAGTCTTGGCTCAGCGCGCGGCTTAGCCGAAATCGTGGGAAAAAACAAGAATAAAGAAACTCACCAACCCGGGAGAAGAGATTGATGTTCAAGAGAAAAACAACCTGTCCATCTTTTCGACCGTCTGCACGCGCTCATGTACGAAGCGTGCCCGTTGTCGCTTTGAAAAGAAAAGACCAGAGCCGAGATGGAATCCCCTTATCTGGGTCCCAAAGAAGCGCTGGCCAAAAGGGGCCGTATGAAACAAGCACGTGCTTGCTTGGTTGTGAAGAGCATGGGTTCGATCACAAAAGAAACTTGCTGGAAGTGACTGAAGTGCATGACGCTTCTCATTCTACTTGGGTTGCCTCTTTCCACTACAGTTTTTTTGGATATTCCCCAAACAAGTTGACCAGAAGTTGCAATTGTTCATTGGAAATCCCAAGGAAGACGCTGATTTTTCGGGGGTGGGGTGGGGTTGGATTGGCATTTTGGGTATGGGCATTTTGCTAGACAGAGCGGAACAAAGCCAAAGAAAGCCAGCCGAAGCCCATTGTAAGGGGCCAGTTTTCCCAGGAACTGGCCATATCAATGGGCACCAGGGCCCCGGTTCCAGGCTTTATGGCTGCAAACGTAGCCCCGTGAAATGCTGAAATATTCCGATTCAACGTGACCTGCTTTGGGGCCCAGCCGCAGCCGCTCCCGGGCCCGTCCAGGGCCCGTCCCAGGGCCCCGGAACCCGGGGCCCCAGCATCCGCACCTGGACGCTCTGCGCTTGGAAGGAGCTCTGGAGCCTCCGATTCGGCGCGGCACGTGCGGGGCATGTGCAGGGCCCGAAGAGGGGGGGGGGAGCTCTCGTTGTGAGGCGCCTGCTCATTTTTGGATTGAAAGCGAAGCCGGAATAGACTGGCCACTTTGAATGCCGAACCAAAACCACTTGTGGGAAGCTGACCTTTCTGGTTGCTTCAAAGCCAAAAAGAAAGCCAATCCAATTCGGAGGTACACCCGCGTCGCGGCCAACGAAACGGTGACCCCGTTTTTGCCCGGCGGTCGGGAGTCGACTTTGGGCTGCACCTAAACCCTTCGATAGCAAACATGGGTGTCTTTGGGTCTTTTGTGGGGAGGGAGGGTTATACCCTTTTGTGCGGTGTAGGAAAACCTTGCTACGCACCGTTTGTGTCCTTTACGGTTGCCAGCCTGGCAGTCTGCCACAAGCATGAGCCGCTCACCGAAAATGTGAAACGCTTGACTTGCCGCAAAACGCACAACAGTGGCAGGAGCCGCCACCGCCTTGCCATCTGATCCCTTTGGAATCTGAACAATGTCCGTCCATCCGATTCGACTCCAACTGCATTCGGAAGCCGCCTCCGGACCGCCTTCTCATCCAAGCCCTCCTCGCTCTGCGTGCACAGCACGAAGAAGGGGATGCCGTGCAGGGCCATCCTGAGGCAGCGATGCACAGGTTCAGCTGAAGATAAGGCAACCCTGGTAGCTAGTGGCTGTATATCCCATCAACCTCCTGGGGGTACAGTTCGATTCGGTGAAAGTACATTACAGCAGGTAGGCTGAGGATAGATGGTGGCGAATTCAATTCCCCCGTGTTGGTTTGATTATCCCCTCTACTCCCCCCCCCCTGGGCCAAAGAATGGCGCCATCTGCTTTCAGCTACGCGTATGGCTGGCCACTGTTTTGCCCTCCCGCGACATGTGGTCCCTGGTGGAGGAAAACCACCGGAAACCAATGGCCTTTGCAGCCACATCAAATGGCGCAAAGGAAAAAAGCGGCCCAGTTGGCTTCCCGTTCTCGTGCAAACTCAAACTGTCCAAGGAGCGTTCATGGCGGAGGGAGCAGCCAAGCTGGTTTCCGTTTGGTTTCCCTTTGAAACAACCCAAACAATTACAACAAGAGTCTTCAAACAAGAATACTCCAGCGGTCCAGTCCAAACCCCAAAGAAGTGCTAACGTTTCCGGCCAGGGGAAAGCCAGCAGTGAACGTTCACACTCCAAACCATTTTGGCGTCACAAGCATGTTGGAAGTTGCACCAAAGTGTTTTGCCAAGCTGAACATGCTTCAACAGGGAGAGGTTGGGCTTTCAAACACTCCCCTTGCACCTACATAAATCCTGGGTCGACGTGAACAAGTCAAGTTTCTGTATCGACAGTCAAGAAAAAAACTGAGAACTCAGAGAAAGCCAGGGGCGGGCTATCCAAAAAAAACAAGCGAACACCTTGACGGTAGGCCCAACCAACGCATCATGCAACTGTGTTGGGTTCAATGCTATTTACTGGACAACCGGGTATGTGGGTATGGGTCAAAATTAAACTTGCAGGGGACCGCAGGTTTTAGTCCATGTGTCCATCTGCCAGGGTTCCATTTTGGGTACCTATTTTTGACCCACAGCCATATGGCGCAAGCCTGTGCGGCTCCAGTCTTGGGCTTCCCCACGCAACGCAAAGCCTGGGCCACCGGACGAGTCGCTCGGATACGCCTCTGGACCCGCGGCCTAAATGACTAGCCAATCTGGGCAAGGTTTCCCGTCCCACGAAAATAGAATGGGGTTGCGAGATCCTAAGAGAATTGTGTGTGTGGGTGTATTTTGTTCGCCCCTTATATATCTATGTACTACTAAAAACGTAATAATACATGTTGAGCAGGATATTTAGTAAATAGTTCAATACATAATGTCAAGTGAAACCCTAGTTAAGGTGATACAGCACAATGACCCAGCATTGCCTGAAACGTTTGATCTCATCGCATGGCGCCATCGGATCTGCCGGCCATCCAACCAACTCCTCAAAAAAAGATAATAATATATAACCAAGAGCCCAGAGCCCCGTAAAAAGGGTGACTGCGTCTTCTGAAAGACAGGCCTTCCCATTATTTCCCCTTACCCTGGACGTCCGCTTTGCGAGCTGGCAACCAAACCCCAAACTGCAGTTATATAAAATGGGCACTCTTTTGTTGTAGTCGATTTCAAAGAACCCCCCCAAAAAAAAAATCGTATTAAATAAATAAACATGAGCGCAAAAGAAAAACACCGGTCTGGGAACCAGTCTTTTGATTTGGATCAGACCAAGCCACGCCTCGCTCGGGTCCTCGGGTCCTCGGGTCCTCGGGTCCTCGGGTGGGGCTCCGTGCTTGCAGTAGATGTCCGTCAGCACGTACTTCTCCGAGAAGAGCATGAAGACCTCGGCATCTGACCGATGTGGATTTGACCAAACTGATTTGCCACTATGGTCAAAACCCAAGTTGAAAGTCCATAGGGAGTGAGAAATCCAGACTTTTGGAGAAGGGTCACCAAATTCACGTTCTCAGCCACACAAAGTTTCCGCCTAGTGATCTTTGCCGCGTGCAAATTTGGTTTTGGTTTTGCAAGAACGCCTTTCGCAGATGGAAAAGTGCTGACCTCCCAAAGAATCAACCACACTGGGAGTGCAATGAATTTGCAGGGGCGCATTGAATCGATCTTAAGACAAGCCTTCTGTCAGCCCATTCCCTTCCGCATCTCCGCTCAAAATCTGAATGTTTTCTGTTTTGGGTACCCTATTGGTCTACAGGGAGAAAGGAAAACTGATGCCAATTTCCGGCCACAAATTATGACACAATGTGCCGGATCCCCGTATGTAGGCTTCGGCTGGCCCAAAAAAGGTGTCCCTCTTCTACATACGAATGGTACCCTCGGAAAAGAAAACAAAAGAAGAAACGAGATGCATCCCTGAAACCCGGGCACGCGCCGATTACCCACAGGAGCCGGGCACAGTCAATGTACAGTAAGCCCAGCTCCCGGATGTAGTCCTCGCTCGTCGCTCGCTTGTAGAAACACTTTTCGGTTGGAGCTGTCAAGGGAAACCAAGAGGAAAACCCAACCCATTGGAGGGGTCCCCTTAGAGACAAGCCCATTTCCTTCGTGTTTGACCAGCTTTGGGGTCTGAAGGAAACCTCCATTGGATGCGAACGGACCGAATCACCTTGCATTTTGGATACCCCTAAAAGGAAACCACCAGTTGGATGCTTCAGTTGCGGCTCATTCCAACTCATTCCCTGCCTATCAAACCTGCAAGTGTTGGGCTCTCCCCGCAACTTCCCCCGAATTGGTTCGCAGATGCCCTTGCAATGGCCCCCAGAAGGAGCCTTAGGAGCGCAGTCCGTGTATGAAGAGATCAACTTTAAATCAATTCCGAGTCAGCAAGTTGCAGAATAACGGAGCATGCTTCTTCCCAATGACAACAGGGCAACCTTTAAACTTAGCACACGCCAGGGCACTCCATGTTACACCATGTTCCACCAAGGATTGATTTGCAACACGCTGTGCGCAGGCAAGAACAGAAGAGCTCAATCACACCAAGGCTGCAGATACCGTACAGGCCTTGAGGCCCCCTTAAGGCCCGCACCCTCACCCCGCACGTGCCAAAAAAAGCGTACAGCTGGGCGGCGCTATGGCAAAAAAATGGTGGGTGAGCTCATTTCAGACCAGCTGCTTTCGCATCAAAATGCCCAAGGCAATAGTGGGCACCACTGCGCATCCACACAACCTTGCATACACACAAAGACCAAGCAAGCAAGCCCTTCTCATCCAGAGCGAGCAAACTCTGACATAAAACAGCACTTCAGCTGGGCAGCAGCTTTATTGGCGCAACAGTTACGCGCAGCACACTATGTTCTGGTGACAGGAAGTCGCAAACAATGCTGCCACCGACAGCGCTGCTTGCAGTGTGAACGACGCCATGTCGTAGTTCAGCCGAATGCCGGTCTACGTCATGAATGAATTGGGTGAGGCAGAACTTGCCGCGTCGCCTTGCGCGCTTCATCGTCCATGCCCTTCTGGGCTTTTTCAGGAAATAGGCTGCCAGCCTTAGGTGCCCCACAATGCAGCCTGAGAGCGAAGGTGTGCGGGCCTTTTTTGCTCAGTCAGCACGCAGTCCCAACTTTCTAGTTTGGTTGCCAGGGAGAACACAGACGTCCTTCGCGCACGGATGCAACTGCAAATTTTGTTGTTAGGAGTTGCTGGAGTCGGGATGGCATGCCTTGTGTCCTTGTTGAGGGTGTGCTAGCTTGACTCCACTTCGAGCGCCTTTGCATGGATAACAGCACACATGGCCGATTGTTTGCTGCTGGGTGTGAACATGCGAACAGGGTATGTGCAATTAATCAACACTTGCTCGTTGTGACCATCTGCGATCTTTTGATCCGCTCCCCAAAAACGATCCCCCCTACAGTATGGGCTGAAGTAGAAACAGAAGGACGGGGAAGTAGAAGTACAAGTAGTAGTAGAAGTAGAAGTAGTAGTAGTAGTAGTAGCAGCAGCAGCAGCAGTAGTCGTAGTAGTGGTAGTAGTAGTAGTAGCAGTAGTGGTAGTGGTAGTGGTAGCGGTAGCGGTAGCGGTAGCGGTAGTGGTCGTGGTAGTGGTAGTAGTAGTACTAGTAGTAGTAGTAGTAGTAGTAGTAGTAGTAGTAGTAGTAGTAGTAGTAGTAGTAGTACATGGTGTTGTGAAGAGGGTATGATCGCGCAGGTCGAAAATCCATCCTCTACTAAACCTTGGCACCTTAAAAAGGCGAACAACCCATATATATATATATACATATATATATATATATACATCATAATATATATATATATATATATACATATATATAGAGAATATCAAACACGCACAAGGACAAGGGTCTTGTTTCTGCAACTCTTGCAACCAACCCTGGAGTCCACCCATAGGATACCCAGTGGATACCCGGCCCCACATTACCATGAAACCCAACGAGTTGGGGGGAATTGCCTCGAGGCTCGGTACCCTTTTCAGGTTGGTTTGAAAGGGCAACCAAAGAGACGCCACCCATGTTTCACTGAAAATTAGACATCCAAAGTCTGTGGTTTCCATCCTTTTAGTCCCCGGAAAACACAATTCTTCCAAAACGGGCCCCGCTTTGTCCCCGTTTTGACTCGGGGTACCGAACTGGTGCCCTCGCCCCTCGCTTCGAGTCTCCTCGGCCTTCTGCTTGAACTGAAACTCCGGCAGGTCCCAGAGCACCACCCTTGCGATGGGATGGGGGGCCAAATGTCGTCTTCGGGGTTTCCCAAAAGGGAGACCCGTCTCCGGGTCTCCCTTTTGAGACACCCCCCCCAAAAAAAAAGAAGGGCTCTTGGCACAGTGTGTCCAAGTTCGGCGGCCCTTGTGACCATGTTGAGGGAACTCACCTAATAACAAGGGAAACGGGCGCCACTGAACCACCGGGAAGTGAACATGGTGGGCCTTCAATCCCTATGGCCTTCAGAAAACCTCCGGAACGAAGGCAAATCTCAGGGTTGGCGGACAATTGTGGCATTCAACCCCTATTAATTTCGGATATCCAATTTCAGGGTCCATGTCCAATCAATCAGAGTACCACCCTGCGAATGCAACTGCTTGGTCACGGTGGAAAACCACAAATGGACTGTCCCATGACTGCTT